ATATTTGTAGCTTTGAGCTGACAATGAACATTTGGGCTTTTCTTGTAAATTCCATAACTTTGCAAAGAAATGTCATGTAGAGCTGGGCAATGTCTCATTTTGATCAGAATTTCGCGTGCTACAATTTTAACTTATTAAGAAAAGTTTTGGAGAGTTTCTGGAAAACTGGTTTTCTAGAAATCCAGTCTTTGGAGGTCTAGGGGCCCAAACCATTGTCATATTCGGATTCAGCACATTTTTTTACCTATTACCCACTAGCTTAGAGCTAAAAAGCGGGGTGGCAGTTGGTGACCTTACCTCGTAAGTAGGTCTCATTTTCGCTAGTCACAATGCTACACAATCGGATTTCAGGACAAGTTTTCTTTTGAGACACATCTCTTTTGCAGATTAACTCAGTCCGTAAGTGTCACAAAAAAAGTGAAAAACAACAACTTTTGATATAAAAGAGTCACCTATAAAGAAAGTGTGTCCTAAGGTAGCTGAAACACTGATTTCACCGTGTTTTACCCGGTTTTCTCGTCGGGAACATAATGCAATCAGGGTCAATCATTCATCTCAGACTCGCTTTGAAGTTGAGATCAAACCTGTACACAGCAGGTTTATTAACACACCCTCTCTTTGTCTAAATCATTTCTACTTGTCATCAGAACTATATTCACCGTTTTTTCTCACATATTTCTCAATTATGGTTTGCCGTATAAATGACATTTGACCTCAGAATAAAAGTGAGAGTGGTTAAATGTTTTATAGCTCGCCTGTGAGTTTTACCGTAAGGTAATGTTTGCCATCTGTGAAGAAAACATTCACGCTTGGACTTTCAGAGAATGTATATCCGTAGATATTATCGCTATGATCAGTTCGTTATTAGAGCCAATCTAATATTCTGTGAATGAGGCGAAATGGCCAAGCCCCAATCCTCCGTGCGTCAAACAGAACCGAGCTGATTATCGTCGCTACATCCTGAGAGTCACTAACGGCAAAGCGATATTACACCGAGGATTACTCATTGTTATAACATTAACCTTTCATGCATTTCTCACTTCTGTGCAGTTCTGTTTTGAGATCTTTACACAGCAAACATTAACTGAGTCTATACACTGAAAAAGCTCGTATATTTGGTGTATTTCATGATAAAGAAGAACCATTTTTGATACCCAAAATGAATGAAGAAAAATGCAACTGTGCGAGCGACAGTAAATAGAAAGGATGTTATACATCCCTATTCTCTCACTCACTGCAAGTGCTGCGTACTTACTCTATAAATTGGTTATTTTACTGATTTAGTTCTACTTTACAAAGGTTCAAAAAGCAAATATAAACTGCAAAAAGTTCGAGTATAAAAGTAGTCTACTTTAAGAAGTGAAGTGCCGTATATAACAGGCATTGTTTTTCGTCTCGTTTAAAATGGGAAAAAAACACTGATATCGTCAATCATACGCGTGGCGAGAGTGTATATATATATGTATACACTGACATATATATGTAGTCCAAACTCCGATCCAGGCCAATCTCAGATTGGTCTAGGCCAAATTCCAATCGGAGTTTGAACTAGTCTAAACTCCGATCGGAGTTTGATCTGTAATTTCAGTAGTCCAAACTACGATCGAAGATTCGACTAGGCCAATCTTGGTCGAAAGAAAAAATTGCAGTCCAAAGTTACATTGGGCTAACTGTTCTAGTCCAAACTCTGATTGAAGTAAGCCAAACTACGATTAAAAATTTCCTCAGGCCAAACTCAGAGTGGACTAGACAAAACAGATATGAAATAGTAAAGTTCTAATAGAAAAAGTAATATCATTGCAGTACTGCGCGTGCATAGCAAATACTTCACTTGTAGTAAACAAACTCTTACTCTTAATCTCTCTTATTTCCTATCATGGAATATAACGATTTTATTGATGAAATGCAATCGCAATCGAGTCAAACAATGCAGAACCATCCTGATAGTAATGATATTGGTAGCAATGGCGTGATTCTGACACATGGAAATGATGTGGTGATCGAAGATGATATATCTAACGCAGAAAAAACTTTCTATGCGGAGGCTGATGATTACAAAAGCGGTTTATCATCGGGTATGCGTGAGAAGACTACGATATCGGTATCCTACTATAACAAAATACTTAATGCATTAAAACAAATCACATCTGGAAAACAGACTGGTGTAGATAGCTATTTTTATATATGGTATAAAAAGTTTTTCAAAGTTGATAATTCAGCTGGTGTTGATCTATTATGCTCATCGAAAAATGGTACTAGATTGGATTGTATTAGAGGCTGATTATACAATTCTAAGAGATGTACATGAAAAAACTGATCATGACGGGCGTGATAAAATGAGAGTGGAGGTAAAACAGCATTATTATTGGATTCCATCAAAAGTGATTAGTATCTATTTATCCACATGTGTTGCATGGCAAATTACGAAACCAGTTAAAAACCATGTGGTGTCAACGGCAATTGTATCCTTTGGATTTTTAACAAGATTTCAAATAGATCTGATTGATTTAAGAACAAGACCGGATGGAGAATTTAAACGGAAGCCAGGAAGCAGCACAATTTTAGGGGAAATTTCAAAATTTTATTGGTGTATTAAAGATTTAGATGTGAACGCTCTCGAACTTAACTTCGACTTAACTCAGGGTTATCTCTGAAAACTTTGTAGCGTGAACGTAGCCGTAAGCGAAATGATGACCATATCCTTTTCTCATTGGTCAACCAATATCACCCAATAGTAAGATAGTGAATTCTTCTGTGTATGGGTGTTTAGAACAGTGCTTGAAAAAAACAGTAGAAATAGCAGTAAGGGATATATAGCCGTTGATCCCAGTATAATAAATTATCATTTTCAATGAAATACAATGAATTTGTTTCCTCTCTTCCATCTAATGCGTTCTATGAACCCCTTACACGCACCGGTCCCCTCCAAGTGACATTAATGTGGTAGGTTTATAACAGAATGGATCATTCGCTCAAAAGATAAACTTTTTCTAATATAAGACGATCACTAACCTAACGTGTGATTGAAATAAAAAGAAAAATTTTGTATTCTAGTGTAGCGGGCATTTCAACTGAAGCTATAATAAAAGTGTCTTACGGGGTACAGGGTTAAAGATCGTCTTGAACACCTGAAATTAATTTCTCGCTGTCGCTTTATACTCCAAGTAAACATCACCAATGGAAAATATCTAGATACATTTCGTCTGTAATCGGGCTGTACACGACTAGTTATCTAGATTACTAGCTGGAAAAGGGACCTTTAACTTCATGCGTCAATATGTAAGAATAAATGCTTGAATAAGGCGTTTACAATGTGCGTGTGTATGCTTCGCATCAATCATAGGTAAAAAGCCGAAGGATGTATTACCTCAGAACGGAAAAATTACTTTGGTTATTCAGTTAAAGGAGAGAGAGGGCGTTGATACATGCATATGCATACAATAGCTGCGGTTCTCTTTGTTAACTAAAACCGCGCATTAGTAACCAAGTTAATACCTAAATTACGCATAAGTGCGAAGGTAACCTATCTATTTTCTTTTATTATTATAGATTATATATTTTGTTCTTACTGTGTGATGGATATAAGTAAGCTAAATTGTCTATTTGAGCTCACCTGATTTTGCTACAGATATTAGACCCCGATAACACAAGAGTTTTTCGACTAGGTTCTTCAGGACTTATCCTTACAGGTGTAGCTGAATTATAGGAGCCTTAAAATCAGTTCTTTCTCATCTTCCAGGTTTTAACTCATTTTTATGTTTTCGCTGAATCGCTTTGCTTGTCTCGACTGTGAAAATAAAATGTGTGACATTGAAAAGTGAGAACTAGTCACTTTCTTAAATTTAAACAGTAGGGTTATACGAAATAGACCTGAGTGGCTAAAGTGATTCCTTTATCTGATACAGAACAAGAAAGAGAAAAAAAGATGGCATCGACTATGGGAAAAAAAGAAAAAGAAAGTAATGAATAATATTACTTTCTTTTTCTTTCGTATCGCCGGAGCCATCTTTTTTTCTCTTTCTTGTTTTGTGTCACATAAACGAATCACTGTAGCCACTCACTCACGTCTATAACCTTGGTATTCTGTTCAGTTTTTTCGGCTCTTCTGACTGAAATACAGTCACATAGTGCAGAAAATATGTCTTCCTTGTAGTAAAACATCATGTCTCACCTTTAGGGTAATACGCTATTTCTTTTCGATCTATTTCTTTCGATCTTTAAACCATTTAGTGATCACGATCAACATCATATTACATATTATATTATATATATTACAATTATGCGTCAGTATATAAATTTAACAAAATAGATACTAAGGATTATGTATCGTATGCATGCGCATGTCCTTAAATGGAATGAAACGGAAATAGGAATGCACACCAACTGATTGTAGAAAAATTAGAAGAAAAAACAGCTCTCTTATTTGATCACCTAAGCAACCCAGTCGAAAAAAGCAGTCAGTCTACAACAGGTGACGCTTCAACAGGGGATATTCTTCTTGATCAGATTTCTTCGTTATAGGTGGTTGAGATGTTGTTAGTTCTTGAGTTAAAAACTGAGCTAACGATACATCACGATTACAATATGTTGATAGTCTATATTATTTTCATCGTTTTCTCAAATCATCAAATTTAGATTTTCGTTTTCCCACATGAATTCAAATGAGTTTCATGGCTTTTGATATCAGGTTTTCGAAAAGAAAGTAGGTTTGTAATTTTAGTTCAATCTTTTGATTATTTGTGTTTCTATTTATTTCCTTCTTTTCTTTGTGTAACGGAAAGAAAAGATAAACATAGACATGGAAGTATGTGATTAAGCGAAGAAAGGTCTGATTCTTTTTCATAACAGAGCTGCGAGAAATAGTGATTTTCTTTTCTTATTCACGTTATATGTAGTGTGTGCGCATGTTGCAATGTACGGCACATATATTAAGACTGTTGTCTATGTAGAGTAATGTCACATTTCCTTCTTTTCCTTAGTATGTACGCACGTTATATAACGTGCGTACGCACTAACACTACGGTTACACTTCG